TTTTGTGCTCGGAGTTGTTCAGGTGATGGCCTTTGGCGCTCTGCTGTGCGCAGGTCTGCTGAAGCGTCAGTGGATTCCGGCAGAACAAGGTCTCGCTGCCTTGGCAGCACCACACGCTCATTGGTCAGCGGTCGGCCAGCTATGCTGAGCTCCGAAGCGTTGATCCAAATGTTCTCCTCAATGGTGGCTCCGTCCGCAACCAACCTCCCCATGCTGAATCGCCTGCAAGCGAGAGTCTGAGTGCAGGGTGGATGAGCCCACGTTTTTTGATGTGCCATGGCAATGGTGGCCAACGCTATGTTTTCACTAATAAGATGTCTCATTGATTCTTTCAAAAATACCCCTGACGACTGCAGCAGCACCAGCCAAATCACTCCCGCCTGCGCTTCGTCAAGGCTTCGCCTGCTGGTGGAAGATCGTAGGCCAAGATGAAGCGGGTGTCGATGTTCAGCTTTTGCGCCCAGAATGTCACCTGAATGTCATTCTCTTCATCTGCAAGCCCGCGCTTGCTGCTGGCCTTGGGAACTTCTGGAAAGTCGCAGATTCCCACAGATGTGGTTGGGCTCATCTCGCAGCATGACTGAAACAGGCGAGCAAGATCTGCAACTCGAGCTTTGGCAGAGGCTTGAGGGTGATTGAAGTCACAGAAGCAGACGATGTGAACTTGGTCAACAGGAACGTTGTGAAGCTTGGCCTTGGAACTCGACAGCACAGACTGGTTTCAGATTGTCTGTGTTCAGTTATCACAATAACTTTCCCTGGAAATTGCAGTGACACAAGACATCAAAAGCATTGCAAACTGCAAAGTGATCGTCACTAATGAAAATCAAGTCACAAGGAAATTCAAATACTCGATCATAGGTCCAGTGGCGAAATCCGCTTTCTCCACTTCGACAACCCTCAAGAATTTGTTACACCAATTGTGCACTGCTCGTTCCCCCAGCGCTGCTTGTTCCTCCCGCCATACGGCCTCAGTTCTGCTCTGAAGAGCAGAGAGCTTGGCTGGAGCGGCTTGGATCCTCGTGAGCTGGAGTTGGTCTCGCTTCAATGCCTTCTTCAGGAAATCAAACTTGGCATGGCGAACTTCAAGGCGTTGCTGCTCCACTTCTCCCAGCATCGCCTGTTCTCTGGTTTCAGCCACTTGCTGCATGTGCTGCTTCTGTGAAGGCATCATGCTCAAGGCAAAGGCCCTTGGACGCTGCAGAAGAACGTCTTGCACCTCCTCATCCACGTGGTTGCCCTTCACCAGCTTTTTCTCGAACTCCTGAATGTCCATCTTGCCCGCCTGACACAAACCACGGATCTGAGTCCAAAGGGCTATGAGATTTCTGATCTGCATCAAATCCGCCTCCTTCGCCCTGTACCTCTTCTTCGACTTCACCTCCACCAGTGCTGTTGCCGCCGAGAAGTCGGAGATGATCCGCGAGAACAGCAAGAATTGGCCCCATTCCGTCAAGGGAAGCTCCCAGTCCACGGTGACTGTCTGCTCACCGTCAAGCGGGGCGAGACCTGAGGTTGCTGAGGCTGTCAGCTGTGTTGGACTGGTGCTTCCGAGGAAAAGCCATGGAATCTGCGACAAGGGTTCCCCAAAGGGACCGGCACTGAACGGCACATCATGTTGCGTGCTCTCCACCAGTGCCAAGCTTTCCGGGCTACATCGCTCCATCCAATTACGGATTGCGGTGGTCTTCTTGTTGTCCAACTTCACAGTCCCCGATCCAGTCGAGTCCTGGGATGCAACCATAGAGATTCTTTCAAATATCTTCAAAGATACAATTAAGGGTAGCTGGTGGCAGTACCTACAATTGATTCATAATCAGGTTAAACCAAAGACCCAGGATCAAGTGCATCTCCTGCTTGCTGCACAAGGGGATGTGCATTGTACAGCGCAAGGGCTTCATCAAAACTCATCCCATCGTCTGTCCCAGCAGCACCCATTTGATTGAGCAGGCATGCCCATCCGAAGGAAGACAAGGGCTGCGCAGCTGCGTCCTGATTCTGCTTCACCACTCTTGTCAGCTGTGAATCCAGAAAGGTGCCCGTCCCTGATTGGCTCTTGTAAATCGTGGCGATCTGCAACATTGACTCAATCAGAATCTTCGCCCGAGGATGAGAAAAGTCATCCGGCCCGAAGCTTCCCTGCTGGTCTAAGATCACCAGGCCGATCAAATTCATGAAGCAAGCCAGGCCTTTCAAGGAGCCATCATCAAACCACAAGAGGTTCACCTGGTAGACATACTCTGCAGAGGACATATCTAGCTCCGGGTCCAATCGCAGGCTCAGCATGGTGCCCTGCCGGGAATGAGGTTGCCACAAAATATTCAAAACAAACTAAAATCAAAATACAAAATCCTTGTTGTGAAAATCTCGCCGCCGCGAGGTTTTGAATATCTCGCCGCGGCGAGGTTTTGAATATCTCGCCGCGGCGAGGTTTTGAATATCTCGCCGTGGCGAGGTTTTGAATATCTCGCCGTGGCGAGGTTTTGAATATCTCGCCGCGGCGAAGTTTTTGACATTTCTCGCCAAGAACCAAGATTCTTGGCTAGCACCTCAGTGAGGTGCTAGCCACAGCTATTTGAACTATGTCTTGGTGGAAAAATCTGGAAATCAGGCCTGGCTAGAAGTAAGGATTGTGAAATTTCTCGCCAAGAACCAAGATTCTTGGCTAGCACCTCAGCGAGGTGCTCGCCGCAGCTATTTGAACTATGTCTTGGTGGAAAAATCTGGAAATGAGGCCTGGCTAGAAGTAAGGATTGTGAAACTGAAGTTCTTGAGCCACAGAGGCTCAGAGCATCACTTGAACTTCTAGCCAGGCTTGATTTCCAGATTCTTCCACCAAGACATAGTTCAAATAGCTGTGGCTAGCACCTCACTGAGGTGCTAGCCTCACCTATTTGAACTAAGTCTTGTTGAAAATAAGCCGACGTAGATCCCCAACAGCGGTTGGTTTCAAACAGTGGTCCAACTTTGCAACCCAAGACGGATTAATGATGGCAGGAACAGGATTCCATAGCCTAAGTCTCTTCGGCGATTTTTTGCCCGCCTTGCCCCCTCCCCTTTTGGACCAAAGGCAGGATGAGACATGTTCTTTAAGAAAGCGCGCATAGTTGAATTTACATACATTTGGTTACAAACGAATGGCAGTATTTGCAGACCACGGTGTGTCATTAAGTGTTTACAAAATTGTGTGTGTGTTGGTTTGGGATTATCTTGTCGTGCTTGGACAACACCGGTCAGTTTGCGCAAGTGATTGGTGAAACAGTTGGTTTTGGCCAAATTGTCCATCATGATTCCAGAATTAGTTTCATGTCAATACTTGGTTGTTGTGTCACAACTGTGTCTGAAGTTTCATTGTGTGTTGCTGTTTGGTCACTTAGCTTTAAAAAAATCATCTACCTGGCTTCGAGAAGCCTCACACAGGTTTGCTGCCAATATTTAGGTGTTCCAAGGCATCGAACTTAATTGCTTGATGTGGCATGTGCTTTGGTAGATGCGACATCGGAACAGTTCAAACAGAAGATTTTACAGCAACATCAGAACAGGTCAGTCGACCGACGCTGTGCGCCCACTGAGCAAACGAACATGAATCGGCATGTGCGGAACCCGCCACAAAGCACCCAAGATTGGCTGGGGGATTTCCGGAATCCCTTGTGTTCCTGGAACCTTGTCTTCCTGGAACCCTCGTTTCCGGAACCTTGGCACAACCCACAGCGTATATTGGAACCCTGGGTTTGCGGAAGCGAGACGCGCTGATTTATTGTCACGCTGTGCCCCCCCCCTGTCAGCGATTGCTCGTTGACAGGGCCTATATGGTCCTGGAACCTTGGTTTCCTTGAAAATTGGTTTTCTGGGACCCTGTCCGTAGCATGAACCTTGGTACAACCCACGGCGTATATCCGACCCCTGGGTTGTTTCCGGAACCTCGGACCCTTGCCAGAACCCTGGTTCTCTGGAACCTGGGCTGGGCTTCTTGAAAATTGTTGTTCCGCAACCTTGTCCCTGTCCGGAACCTGTGGCATAATCCAGGAAGTATATCCAAACTGTGGGTCCGCATCCGCGGTGGTTCTCGGAACCTTGTCGGAACCCAGTGTTGCTGGAACCTTTCCGGAACCCTCGTTCCCCAAACTCTGGGTTTCCAGGATGTTTCAAAATTGGTGTTCCGGTGATTCCAGAACCGCTCGAAACCATGGTAAGGTTCCCGGAACCTTGTCGAAAGCCAAGTGTGCCCGGAACCTTCCTGGCGCCGAGAACCTGGGGATCCCGGAACCTCGACGTCCCGGAACCCAAAAGGTAGCCAGAACCCATTGTTCCCAGAACCTTGCTTGAAAGTCTGGTTTGCGGAACCTGGAACCTTGCCCCGAACCCTGGTTCCCGGAACCCTGAGTTCCGGAACCTTGCCCGGAACTCTGGTTCCCGGAACCGGCAGCGGTTGGTTTCAAACAGTGGTCCAACTTTGCAACCCAAGACGGATTAATGATGGCAGGAACAGGATTCCATAGCCTAAGTCTCTTCGGCGATTTTTTGCCCGCCTTGCCCCCTCCCCTTTTGGACCAAAGGCAGGATGAGACATGTTCTTTAAGAAAGCGCGCATAGTTGAATTTACATACATTTGGTTACAAACGAATGGCAGTATTTGCAGACCACGGTGTGTCATTAAGTGTTTACAAAATTGTGTGTGTGTTGGTTTGGGATTATCTTGTCGTGCTTGGACAACATCGGTCAGTTTGCGCAAGTGATTGGTGAAACAGTTGGTTTTGGCCAAATTGTCCATCATGATTCCAGAATTAGTTTCATGTCAATACTTGGTTGTTGTGTCACAACTGTGTCTGAAGTTTCATTGTGTGTTGCTGTTTGGTCACTTAGCTTCAAAAAATCATCTACCTGGCTTCGAGAAGCCTCACACAGGTTTGCTGCCAATATTTAGGTGTTCCAAGGCATCGAACTTAGTTGCTTGATGTGGCATGTGCTTTGGTAGATGCGACATCGGAACAGTTCAAACAGAAGATTTTACAGCAACATCAGAACAGGTCAGTCGACCGACGCTGTGCGCCCACTGAGCAAACGAACATGAATTCGGAATTCAGTGAGGGGCCACAAAGCACCCAAGATTGGCTGGGGGATTTCCGGAATCCCTTGTGTTCCTGGAACCTTGTGTCCCTGGAACCTTGTCTTCCTGGAACCCTCGTTTCCGGAACCTTGGCGCAACCCACAGCGTATATTGGAACCCTGGGTTTCCGGAACCGAGACGCGCTGATTTATTGTCACCCTGTCCCCCCCCCTGTCAGCGATTGCTCGTTGACCGGGCCCTTTTGGTCCTGGAACCTTGGTTTCCTTGCAAATTGGTTTTCTGGGACCCTGTCCGTAGCATGAACCTTGGTACAACCCACGGCGTATATCCGACCCCTGGGTTGTTTCCGGAACCTCGGAACCTTGCCAGAACTCTGACCTTGTCCCTGTCCGGAACCTGTGGCATAATCCAGGAAGTATATCCAAACTGTGGGTCCGCATCTGTGGTGGTTCTCGGAACCTTGTCGGAACCCAGTGTTGCTGGAACCTTGCCAGAATCCTGGTTCCCCAAACTCTGGGTTTGCTGGATGTCTCAAAATTGGTGTTCCGGTGATTCCAGAACTTTGGCACAATCCAGGCTCTGGCTGCTCGAAACCATGTTAAGGTTCCCGGAACCTTGTCGAAAGCCAAGTGTGCCCGGAACCTTCCCGGAACCTTGACGTCCCGGAACCCAAAAGGTAGCCAGAACCCATTGTTCCCAGAACCTTGCTTGAAAGTCTGGTTTGCGGAACCTTGGGTTCCTGGAACCTTGCCCCGAACCCTGGTTCCCGGAACCCTGGGTTCCCGGAACCTTGCCCGGAACCCTGGTTCCCGGAACCGGTTCTCGGAACCCTGGTTCCCGGAACCGGCGAAACGAGGCGGCAGGGTCGAGCAGTGCCCCGGAGCACCCCGAAGGCTATGTGGGCTGAGACCCCAAAGCATTCTGCTGTTGGGGAAAAACTGATCATCAGGCTTAGCTAGTACACAAATGTTCTGAGTTGCCGGAAGCCAAATTTCTCTCCGCTTTAGCATTGCTTTTCCCAAGCCATTCTTGGCTAGCACCTCTGTGAGGTCCTAGCCATGGCCAATGATTCGTATGTAGCACGTTTTTTTTCTCATTTTTTGTTTTTTTTTTGTTTTTTTTGGAAAAAAAACATTGCATACAAAGAATTGCCAGTGGCTAGCACCTCCTAGAGGTGCTAGCCAAGAACAACTTTTGAAAAAAAAAACATATTGGCTAGAAAATTGCTTTCCGCTGTCAAAGTCCAGCCTCGCGGAAGCGCGACATAGCAATGGACCGAGCAACGCCAAGAACTTCGCTCATCGGAACAAAGCCACGCCAGAAAGATTCGTTCATCATGCTCCACTGCAAAATGGAAGTCTTGCTGATCTTTCCCTCCACAGGTGGCCAGTCCTGACAAAGCTGGAACTTACTCAAAACTTTTAAAATTTGCCAATTTCTCCCTGTTTAATCTTTGTCTAATTGTCGTATATCTAATATTTGAAGGTCTGAATCATCTCAAACCAAGCACAATGCATCGTGCCTCCATCTTGCAGAACCTCCGCTGGAAGTCATCCAAACAAGATTCAGTGCCACAAATGCCAGCCTTCTGGCAAACCCGAAGCGCACCATTCAAAATGCGATCACCGTCTCCCCAAGCACGCTGGGCAATCTCTAGAAAGGTTCCACCATGCTCAACAGGCCATGGGAACAAGGCCATCTTGCCATCATCAGCCTTGTTGTGCCGCAGGTTGTAGGTTTGCTGAAGCCATTGGTCCAAGGCGACCTGAACAGCTGGCACATCTTCCACAGTGCGCGCGCACGTCTTCTGCTTCTTCTTCGGTGGCATGGCTGAACTTCGCGATGAAATGAACTTGAACCTCAGATCCTGCGTGGTTCCTAAGATCCACCACCTGGTAATCAAGCAAATCTTCAACTTGGTTCCTTGGCTACGCTGAATCATACTATATTCAGCTTCAGATTTCCCCTAGACAATTCAGAAGATGATATCAGTGCCTGGCTTCAAACATTGGAGGCATGCCTTTTGCTCGGCTCCGGGGCAAGCACTGCGCTCAAACTAGTGTCAAATTAAAGAAGAGCTCAAGATTAAAACTCCTCAGGCAATAAGTTTTAAAGTCTGAATTAGAGCCCGCCCACTGCTCATATCGCAGCCCATCCAAGCTCGTTGATCATCAAGACCTCCACGGCCCTGTGCTTGAAAGCTGCTGCTTCAAGCATCCGATGGTTGCCAATGTCGAAGAACAGACAGGAAGGCCGCCACGCACACCGGAACCGAAAACCTCAGCACGAAAAGGAAATGGCCAATGAACTTGGAAGATGTCAGACTGAAAAAGAACAAACGCTTGTTCAGCGCACATTTCCCCCACTATTCTCTTTGTTGGGCACCCTGCGCTTGTCCAGCGTCCCCACTGCGCTTGTTCAGCGCACATCTCCCCACTATTTATCTTGGTTGGAAACCATGCGCTTGTCCAGCGCCCCCACTGCGCTTGTTCAGCGCCCCCACTGCGCTTGTCCAGCGCACATCTCCCCACTACCTTTGTTGGAAACCCTGCGCTTGTCCAGCGTCCCCATTGCGCTTGTTCAGCGCCCCCACTGCGCGCACATCTCCCCTATACTTTTGTTGGAAACAATGCGCATGTCCAGCCCCCGCACTGCGCTTGCTCAGCGCCCCACGGCGCTTGTTCAGCGCATCGCCCCACTATACCTTTTTTGGAAACCCTGTGCATGTTCAGCGCAGATTGTAGGAAAGAACACATTGAGGCCCCCACGAGTTTCCAGCAAAGGATTTCAAAAGACTGGGGGGAAGCTGTCCCAAGTTGTAGCGCCAATGCTCGTGGTAGCCAAAGCCCTGCAAGCGACTGCACTCCTGATCAAGGATAGGCAAGCTACACCACAGTTTTCTTAAACTTTTTTTTACGTCTGAAACAGGGCACTATTTCCCATCATTCATGACTTCGATGTTCGAAACACAAAAGACTTCAACACAACCCTTCAGAGTCCTGCGCGGTCACTACCCGCCACTCCTTCGTAAGGATGTAGCGACCCTTCGGAATGGTGCAATTGACATACCTGGGGTTGCTTCGAAGAAAGGTGCCCCTGTCGAAGTTCTGATCCTCAGGTCGGCTTAGAGCGCATGGTTCCAAAAAATCGTTCAATTATTTCCAATTGGTTGGGATTCATCAGTTGAAAAGATTGAAGTAAGTGCTGAAGTCTTTTCGAGCTGCGGTCTGCACAATAACTGCTTCAGCTTGTGGATCGATATCGTGGTTCTGAACCAAATCCACACAAGCCACAGCAAGAATGCAAATCTCCCGCTCCGGGATGCACGTTGCCAAGTGCTTGGCCTTGATGGCAGCAATCATTCGATCCACTGCAGCCTCGGGCTGAACAAGCACGATCAAAAAAAAGCAGCCAACATTCACGGGGACCCCTTCAAACCTTGAAGGCTGGAGGTGGTTCAAGCCAAGGAGCTGAGCCAAGCCTCTTGCGAGCTTCTTCCAGCTTCTTTTGCCATTTGCTGGCCTTATTCGTGCTGTGCCGGACAATGCCACCAAACTTGCCCACAGGATCATGGCCACCCACAAGCACCTTGCCCAAACCACAAGGCTGCAGCATGAAAGATCGGAAGGATCCAAGAAGGTCGGCCTGATCATGCTGACAATCAGCACGGATGAACATCATCCAGCAACGTGCTCTAGATTGGGGAAGCCCAAAGTTCAATGTGTTCACCACATCATATGCTGGGATGTAGCCAAGCTTTCGCATCACACTGCAGATGTGATCCACCGGCTTGTGGTAATTGTCAGCCTTCCTGCAATGGGCAAGTGATTTGACATTTTCCAAGATTGCCCATTGTGGTCGAAACTTTCGGATAAACTGCCTGACACTTTGCCAGCCGCATCCGGTGGCTTGGGTTGTGTCGCGGAACTCCAAGTCATACATGTTGAGAGGGGAAACTGAAATACAAGGAAAGCCAGAGATGACTCCATCGACCTGCAAACAAGCACGGTGAAGAGAAAACAATATCCAGTGAAGGGAAACCATATCCAATGAATTGCTTGCATTTTTTGAACTGAGACTGAAGTTCACTTTTTTGAAGGTATGACCAGGTGTCAAAATTGTCAACATCATGGACACATAATATTGACATCATTGCAGCTCGGGGCTGCAAGTTTCATCAACTCAGGGGGGACCGGCATTGAATTTGTTATTTTGATTCCATGTGTCTCCGACCTGGGGAACATTCTTGTAGCTGTTGCTGTCTTTATAGTCTCTGGCGCGTCCTTTGTGGAGGTCGCGCATGTCCGTAAATATGTGGACTGCCGATGGGAATGCCTCCTCGAGGAACTTCAGCTTGGCGCCTTCATTTTCACAGAGAAAGGTATGCTCCACCTGTGCTCGCCACAGCTAAAATCAGTTTATTAATTCACAGGAAACTTCTAACCATCAAAAAAATAAAACTGATACTGTAATACGTACCCTTGGAATCCCTTGGGCCAACCAATGGTCAAAGAGAGCTGCGCACGCCTTCAGGGGCGCATCTGGGTCCATGTTGTTCCACAGCTCAGCAAAGATATCCCCAATCATTTCCTGCGTGCCAATGCCCGAGCAAATGGTGCCGATTTTGATGGCTGGGGACGGCCTGTCCAAGCCTTGCAGGGCTGAACTCAAAGACTTGAGGTCTCCGACAAGCTCAGAGAAAGAGGAATCCGTCAAAGCCCTGGAAATGAAGCCGCGTGCCTGAAGCAAAGCAGATCAAGCCAAGGTCTGATTTTTTTTCCACCTTTGGAGTAAGCTTATATTAACTGAGTCTTTATTGTTCCTTGTGTGTCCCACAGTTTTGGGGCAATGCCAGGGTTCAAGACAAGATACTCCCAACTCCATATGGTTAGGCCATTTCGGCAAGTCCATTGCATCCACTGATGAGTCTTCGTCATCCTCCTGACCATCTTGATCTGAATCTTCAATTTCAACTGGGCCACCAACATGCCCCTGGGCATCGTGATCTCCAGCCGTCTTGCAATCTTCATCATCACTGGCAAAAAACATCTCGCCAGCCTCAGCATCCTCCTTCTTGTCATCACCCGGCTGCTGTGACCTAAGGCTGTGTAACAGGAGCCATTAAAATTTGACAGGGGTAGGGATTGAAAACAAGTCCTGACACCATCATGACCAGCGAAGCTTGAAGGCCTTGGAAAAAAGGCAACAAAACTCATTAGTCATGAGGCTCATTGAGCTCTTCGTCAGAGCTGCGAAAAACTTCTTGCTCACTTTGAATTTGTTCATTGCTCCTGGAAGCACCAAACACCCTGGACTGAGGCTAGCCAATCTGCTTCTCTAGCTACTTCCGATCACATTTGATTTTTGACGACGCCTTTAACTTTATGTTTGAAAAATAAAGATTAACTTCAATCATGTGCCGTCCTTGAGCGCTTAGAAGCAGGTCGCTTCAAAGGGGGCTTTTTCGCCGCTGGGCGCTTCATAGATTTGGGCGCCATCACCGCAAAACAAGTGGCGCTGAATTTGTGCAGAGCTTGATCAAAATGGCAAGGAACTTCACTGACTGCCAGATTGCTTTCATCAAATCAACTCACACTGGCTTGAACAGCTGAACCCATGTCAAATAAACTGAAATGCGTCTGTCTCCGGCAGGACCAAGTCTAGATAACGGATTTGGCTTCAGCATCATCACCCTGCATGCCGCATGCCCATCCGAAATCCGCCTGCAGTGGCTCGCAGCAAGTGGCCACCTGCATCGAAAACAATAGGCCCATGGAAGTTCTGAGTAAGTCTAGGAGAAAGTTCCTTACCCTTTGGGTTTTGATCTAAACAAGTCCAACATGTTTTGTTGGAAAACTGCACTGTTGGTCCCTATAACATTGAAACCAAATAAGAAGGATGACAGCGGGGGACACAAGCTGAACACACCTGGGAAAGCCTGGCTTGCGGTTGTCACATACATCCCCTGCAAAGGCTGATAAAGTTTTGATTTTCTTGATCAGTCTTCCAGAATCTATTTAGCTAGTCCATTGGATACTGCCTAGGACTGCACGCTGAACACGGCAATGGCCTTGAAGAAGCTTTAGGCTAAGCTCTTCAAATCCCGGAACAAAGGATGAATCCAAAACAAGCCCTCCAAGGGAACTTAACAAATCTAAAGACGCCACATGCCAGCTCCTGACAAAAGATATTTTTTGCAAATAATTAACTAATTAAATCGGAAGTTTTAGCTAGGTCTGAGGTCCAGTGCTTGTTCAGCGGAATGCACGCTCTTGTGCAGAGCGGTTCAACCCCCATCCCTCGCCCACGCATTTTTTGTCACCCGCCGTATGAATCACAGCCGGCGGCTGCCCCAGATTTTTGACAGTAAAACAACCTGAGCAATGGCGAATCAGTGCCAGCGATTGGTGAGTGAAAAACGGAGATCACTTACAGTGAGTTGATGGCAATGGGAATTTGACATTTAGTCAGAGCTGACAACCTTCCTGAAAATTTCAATGAAAGCCACATAGAAGTCAGATGGCGACCAGAGTCACTCAATCAGTGGCACATTGCAGTATCCGAACCCAAAAACTTCACATTCTGTTTTAACCAATGATTTTCAGATCCCAAATCCTGTACTTCGCAGGCTACCGGCACTCGGTCACAAACATCTAGTTGCAGCCGGCTGACGCAACAGAAAGAAAACGACTCGGTGATTCCATCACTGACTGGCAACAGCCCAAAGATTACCTCAGACGCATCTCTTTGAGTTGCACCGGTTGCGGCACACCACTCAGACCATGTTGATGGGAGCTTCATCATCTTCAGATGCTGTTTCGCTGTCATCAGCCCTTGGCCTGAGATCCCATGTTGTGGACCTCCGGGGCTTCTCCCAGACTGAAGGTCCCACAGGACGAACAGGATCCACCAAAGGCTGCCGGTGATTCAAGATCGAATAACTCCTCGGTCTTGGCCTCAATGGCCATTGGGCTTGCGCCCACGACTCCAAGTAGTATGATCCATCTTCAGTCAACACGCCTTGATCTTTGCAACGGGGTGCGTAAACACTGATGTTCTTCTTGACCTGATCTCCAATGGGTCGTCTCAAAGCAAGGCCGCCAGGCTGCTCAAAGGAAAGCCTCAAGGACGCTGCCCGTTGGGCGCTCATGACACATTTGATGCTTGACGGGGTGCCGTCTGCCATCCTCCTCCTGACCACCATCAGCACGTCATGCCCATGTGGGATTGAACCTCTCAACTCTTCGACTTCGCACGAGCCATATGCAGATGGACTCAGATCTGACCGCAAAAGGAAACGCAGTTGGCCAACCTTTCCTCGTTGGCTTTTGACATGGCACCATAAATGATAGATGATCTGAAAAATGCATGCGAATCACGACCCAAGTGGCTTTTTGAAATCAGAAAAATTGCGCCCAAAATCATTAAAATAAGAAATCAAAGGATTGATCAGCTATGCCAAAAGTCTCAAGCCTTTGAGCTTCATCCCTGCCACAGCGACCCAAGATTTCCAGTCAGCAGCCTGATCCAACATGCAGGCACTTGCACGGATCTTTTGAAATTTTTGCTTCTTCAAGCGAGCTGCATGGCCAGGATTGTCAGATTGGCAGGTGCCATTGAGAAGTTCCAGCAGATCATCTGGCGTTGAGAAAGAGCTGTGGGACATCATCGCCGCTACCTGCGAAAAGATTTGATCAATATCTTCGTGGGAATGTCCAGGTCTCAGAAATGATACTGTTGTTTGCCTAAAAACTTGCAAAGCAGTCAGCAAAAGCACATACGCCATGAAGAACTGGTTCTTCGCTTCCCTTGGTGTTCCGTCATGTTGGATGTGCAGCGTCAGTGGCAAAGTGCCGTGCTGATTGGTCAAGTCAGAAAGCATCCTCGACAGTGCTTCCATTGATGTGACCGAATCCTTCGGCTGGTCTTCATGGCTGACGAAAAACGTCATTTGAGCTCCGTGTGCCCAACTGCAGAGGATGTGGAGCACTGGCCTGTACAGCCTCTGACTCAACTTGGAAGCACGAAGCTGTGGATTCAGGCGGGGAACACGAAATTTGGCTTGATCCATACCATCCTGAATCACTGTGATAGCTGAAGAATGGATTGATCCGCTGATCATCTTGGACCCCATCTCCATGAGTTGCTGGAAAGAGGCATGTGATGTGCTCCGGTGCTGCCAATAGCATTGGCGGTCAAGCCACTGGCTGAGCACGTGTTTCACATAGGCCTTGTTCCGGCTTTCGCGCTCTTTCCTGTCTTTTGCTTGCCGAATCTCTTGCTTGAGCTGCCAGCAAATATCACACTGTGCATGGTCTCCAGCCTTCCGGTAAGCCAACTGCCCACCACGCATACCTGGTTTCATAACGCAATTGGCAACCCGCAGAAATGTCGAGTAGCTTGCCGTCTCTTGCCCATTGGCTTCAGAGTAGGCCACATACTCAAAGAAGAGCTCGGTTCTCGTTGAATGCTGTAAAAAGCGCTTGGGCGCATCTGGATTCCCTGGTCCAAGAAGCATCACATTCATGTCTGCAGAATAGACATCCAACTCATTGAGGACTTTGGACACATACCTTTGACTGAAGTCCTCTGCACAATCGCCGCCCTCATCTGGGAATGGTGCTTCGCACTGCGCTGCTGGCAGTTTGAAATGATTTGGCAAAAATTCAGCAGAACTATGATAAATTCTCCAGAGAAAGACCACCACTGCATGCCACTTGGCGTGAAGTTCGCCATCAAGACAAAATCCAAACACTGGATGTTTCGGCCTTGCAGGCCTTCCTGCAAAAACTTCTTCTCCTCGTCGCATTTTGTGGAGAGTGCTTGTGCCAACCGCCAAAAGTCGAGACAAAGCCCTTACGCACACAGGTTTGCCCAAAAACTGCGCTGTTCCAGCTACTCTTCGTTGTTTTGACAATGATGAAGGACATCCACCAGACTCAGGTTTGTCATGACCAGGACCACCATTCCTACCAGATTCTAGATCAGAATCAGAAGAGGGCATGAACAATCCTTCAGATTTGCCGCTGTTCATGTCCATGTCCAAAACTTTCGGGCTTGTAGCCTTGTCATCATCTGAAGAAGAGAAAAATTGTTGACCTGGTCCAGCCACCTGCTCCGCATCCTCTTGCTCTGATTCCCAAAAAAAACTCTCTTCGTCCGAAGCCAACCACATCTCACCCGTAGCTGATGGCACAGACTCCACGCTGTTGCTGTTAGTAGTTTTGATGGCAGCTACTACCCGATTTGTTTGAACTGATTGACCAGATGAGACATTGAAGAAATCTTGCAACGCAGCAACCTAGTAAGCGGGGACGCATGATCATGCTACCAAAAAAACAGTTCAAAGATGTTCAAAGAAGACCCGATAATGGTTGGCAATATTGAAAACTAGCAAAAAGTGATTGAGTGATGAATCTGAACCATGTGGCCTTCAGGCTTGGCTCCAGCCCCCGGAAGCTTTCTCGAGCGGCAAGAACTGCAGATTGACAGCCACCAAACTGCTGAAGGCAGACACGTGCTAGACAAACACACGGCCGCTGCAAGAGCTGACTCAGAGAGAGGCTGCCCTTTGACGCCTTTGACTTCTTCCCCATGATGGCACACAGCCACAAAACGCAAATGAAAACTAAAAGAAAGATGTGAGATGATTCTTACCATTGAAACCATTATCTTGGAACTCCAAAATGTATGGATAACATCCTCACCCATGTTTGCCATAAAATTGGTAGTAGGCTGCACAAACTAAAGTTGCTAGTTGCAATCAGTTCGCTCACACCTTGACAGTTCACTAAAGCCACTTGAAGTTGCCTTTGAGCCAAATAGGCTTCTGAAGGTAGCTGACTTATAAATGGGCCATGAGTTTCCAATTTCAATGTGATAGCCGATATCGCCATGCTGAGGGCAATGATGACAGTGAGTCTATATCAAAACAGTTTTTGTCTTTGTTCATCCGAGATATTAACAGTATAGAATCATCGTCAACCTGATATCCATTGCTAATGTAATGATGAAACTTGTGTTTTGGTGACGTTGCCGCCCGTTTTGGTTATTCAGGGAAAAAAGGTATCAAAACTATTCGTGGCAACCATCCCTTCTGTCAATTAAGTAGAGCGGCGCCACTTAGACAACGGAAACTTCCTTACATGCCCATTTGGCGCGCTCCCGCCTGCGAAAAGCGGCTTGCGGCTTAGGAAAAGCGTGCTGCCACCTGGCAAGAGCGAGCAACCGGGCAAAAGAAGCGATCTGCCAGCCCCATAGCCTATATAGCCTTGAAGCTAGATATTAGTCAGCGCTTGTTCAGCGCCCCAACGCATTTTTCAGCGCGCCGCCCCACAACAGCCCCAACCCCAACCCCAGCGCTTGTTCAGCGCCCTAAAACAGTGCACTTGTTCAGCGCAATTTTTTGGTAGAGCCATTGCTGAACCCTTGTTGTTTCTGATGGTGAGTGTTCTGACAAGCGCTTGTTCAGCGCGCAGGACGCTTGTTCAGCGTCGAGGTCGTTTTTAATTTTGAAATTTGAGACGTGACATAATGAAGTGACGGTGGTAATGGTAATGACCCGAACATGTTTGCATGTTCTGTCGCCGCCCCACAGGCCGCACCAACATCGTGACTCAGCAGCGCCACCAGGCTTAAATTCAGCATGCAATGCAGGCTATATTTTGTATAATAGCTACTGTAACTGACTATCTTAATCTGTGTGTATTATCTGTGTCATTAATTGCAACTTCTGAAAACCATGCGCTGGACAAGCGCACATGGCGCTGAACAAGCGCATGACATGCCTCCTATACTAATTACGCAACTTGAATGAATCATCATCATTTTAAGGCTCCTCTATCCCCCCATGTGTGGCTGTAAACCCCACTTGGGGTAATGAAACCAAACCGTCGGTTGACCAGCGGTCCAGGACAAACCTCTCCATTTGGCACCTCCGTGCCCTTTCGTCGGCAGCCTCAGATGCAGCAATTGTCAGAGAGGCACAGGGACAACAACACAGTTGTTTGGATCAAAGGAATCATGTACTGGACTGACCGTATAATATTAATAATGATATTCTGGGAATTTGACAGCCCTCCTGTGGTTATGAATTGGTTGCTTGGAAAACAATGCATTGTGCTATCAGTTGTTTTTGCTAACTTGGAATTTGAATAAACAATGGTCAACATGTGGCCCGCGTGACCAAACTTGACCCATTACCTTGTTGCTCAAGGGAAAGATTAAAGCCATGTGCCAGACACTATCATTTTCTTCGAACTAGAATCAGAATAGAATCAGAATAGCACATAGGGAAAAAATGACACCATCCTAGAGGGCCTGGCCACTGGGTACTGTAAAACAGCACTGGAACCAAAGGGCATATTTTCACGCCACTATCTTTCCACCTTTTGTTGTTTCACCACATACACGCTACGCCGGCCAGCCATGCCCTGGTGCTTCTACAAGGGGGATTGGCGAAAGGTGGAGAAGTGGGAAGGTGAGAATTGGGTGAAGGTGAATGGCAGGTGGGAAACCATCACCGGACCCATCAACCTGCCTGACCCGTTGAACGTTGGCCCACCCAGCACAACACCGGCACCTGGAGAAGTGGCCATGTCCAAGCCCTTCTCCATCCTGCATCCAGCACCGCCTGGCCCGTGTAGCCCACCACCACCAAAGCAAGCAGAGCATGCACCGAAGCCTTCCCCACCTGGCAGCCCTCCTGCAGCAGCGCCAGATGGCAGCAAGTCAAAGCCCCCCGGCCAGCACCGTCCACCAGAGCCGGCTGTCCCGCCTGGTAACAAGACCGGATCCCCAGCAAAAGCAAAGCCTCGCCTACCACAACCTCTAAACAAGCCCGGATTGGCAAAGCCTCCTTCGGCTGCTGCACCTGGATCTGTGCCAGCAAAGCCACGGCCAGCAGGCAGTAAACCTCCACCAGAGCCAGCAGTCCCACCTGGGAAGAGCCCTGCACCTGACCAACCAAAGCATGCGCCAGCTGCTGCACCTGCTAGCAAGCCACCGCCAGGAGATCCAGCAACCAACAAAGCATGCTCCGAAAGCACAGCAACGACGCCAGGGACCAGTGCCACACCGAGGTTTTTGCCTCCAACAAGCAAGCCTGCACCAATGCATCGACCTCCGCCGCCTTTCACCAGCCCCAGCCATCCAGAACAGCCTCCTCGTGCAAGTGTGCCGCCAGCATCAGTGGCCCCGCCGCTTCCACCTCCACCACCACCACCTCCACCAAATCCAAAGCCAGTCGCGCCAGGACCAGTGCCACACAAGCCAGGCCCAGTCAACCCCACTCCCAAGCAACACAGGCCACACATGCCATCTGCAATGGGGGTGCTCCTGACATCAGGGCGGACGGTGAATCAGCTGAACCCGGGCTGCACACCTCACCGCTCCCATGGTGGTTCAAGGGAGCGCCGCATCATTAGACATGCGGTGCAGCACCTGCAGAGATTTGCCTGTGACACGGCAGTGTGGGCTGAGAAGAGGGACCGTGACACCCAGCAGATCAACACGTTCAGCCACCAGACGCGCGCGTCGCTTATGCAGATGCAGCAGAACCTCTCCTCGGCCCAGGCCGCACAAGACCCGGAGGAGATGAAGAAGGCGGTGCGAGACGAGGTCATGGCGGAGGTCATGGCGGAGGCCAGGGCCGCTAGTAGAGTTTGCCATCATCAGATTGTTGCATCAGCCACCAACTGACTCTTCAAGCTGATTAAGAAAACACTAAGCTGGGATTGGGCATTAAAGCTATGGGCATTACATACTTTTTTCATGTGTTCCCCAAGCATTCCGCCAGGTGATGGCCAAGATGAAGCAGCTGCAGGAAGAAGCAAGCAAAGGAGGTGGCTCTGGAGCATCGTCTTCATCGCAAATCAAAAAAGAAGAAGATGAGTCTGAGGAGGAGCGGAAGGCGGGTTGGGTCTTCGTGTCAGCATGCGCTGGACAAGCGCCATGGCGCTGAACAAGCGCCAACTTGCACAGTAGCCAGGGCACTGCCACTATTCACTAATTCCTTGACTTTGACATTTCACATGGACCAATCTGGATTGGCCTGCAGTGTTAACTAACCACGTTGATTACTTGAATTTCACATGCCCCGGCCAGGTCGAGATGAGCAACGAGGAGATGCGAGACCGAAAGAGCCAGCCGCTCCATCCACCGCCACCGGAAAGTCCGAACAGGGATAAGGTCAAGAAGGAGAACAAGGACCAGAAGGGCGAGAAGGAACGAAAAAAGGATAAGAAAACCAAAGAAGAAAAGAAGGGCCCCAAGGATGAGAAAAAACACAAGAAGGCTGAGAAGGGCCCCAAGGATGAGAAAAAACACAAGAAGGCTGAGAATGGCCCCAAGGATGAGAAAAAACCCAAGAAGGCTGAGAATGGCCCCAAGGATGAGAGCAAGCCCAAGAAGGCTGAGAATGGCCCCAAGGATGAGAACAAGCTCAAGAAGGCTGAGAATGGCCCCAAGGATGAGAACACGCACAAGAAGGCTGAGAATAAAAGAGGAGGAGATGATCACATGGACCAGAACCAGAAGGCCAGCAGCGGGGATGGTGGAGTTTTGAAATCATGACGCTGGATTGAATAACATGAGGCTTACATGAAGGCATACCATCATCGAATTATAAACTTCAAGACCCATCCCATGGCACTAAGTTTGGTTGAAATGCAATCTCTGAGCCGCTGTTCCCAGGCCAAAAAGCAGAAAAAGGACAACGAGAGCGGGCGCAAGAGCGATAGCAAGTAGGGTGCAGGTGCTACGCGAGGCAACTTTTGAGTGACAGCCCATGACAGCTCAAGCCACCTGTGCCAAATGTTAATTGATAGTGTTAAAAATGTGGATTGCGTAGCACCTATGCGCCATGAATCAACGTACAGGAGCTGGCCGGCGCAGCGTGTGTTTTTTTGGAAAAAGTAGCTGGCTGGCCAACACAGGTTGTGTCTTTTGCACCTTCCCCAAGCTTAGTTTTGGAAATTCCTTAGAGTCCCATGCTGTTCCCGCCGCCAAGGCGTGCCGAGGAACAGCTTTGTTTCAAAGCTTTGAGCACTGGAGGGGCCTCAGTGAAACCAGGTCATGGCACTGAAAATCATGATTGGGGCGCCTTCAATAGCACAGAGTTTTAAAGATGGGAAAAACCAATCTTCCCTGAAAACTTGTTCTACTATGGTTCAGTTAAAGGTTTTAATGCAAACACCAAAAAATGGTTACAACCTGGCTGAGTTACGGTGCTGAAACATGCACCAAATAGCGCTGAACAAGCGCTGTAGGAATGGTACCTAAGGCCCAAGTTTCACATGTCATGTTTATTCAATGGTTGGACCATCCAATACTGTTTTGTGGGGCCATAATGTTTATCACATGAAACAGCCTGAATGGAATACTTCATTCGGATATATTTATGTTTTTTATTTGGGTCACATATTTACTATAGCCAGCGCATCATTACTTTGAGACATAAATGGCCTGGTATGCGCATACTGTGTGTTTGTGTGTGGTGCGTGTGCGTGTGTGCGAACATGACCCCATGAACACTCAGGGTAAGCAAACCACGTGCGGCTGGTTTGTTTACACTGAATGTTTTGCTACGCTTCCCTGCGCAGACTTACCACATTTTTCAGTGGGCAGTAGCTTTGAAAATCACTGGCGCTTGTTCAACGCCCGGTCGCATTTCCAGCGATCATCCCTTTTCCAAAAGGGTTGTGATTTTCAAATCTACTGGGTGTCTCTTTCAACACTTCCCCCATTGGCAAACCAAATTCCATCCAACGTCCGCTTGTACAGCGGCTCAAGCGCTTGTGCAGCGCTATAACCCAAGTTGTCCTTGAGTCTGGATGGAATTTGGTTTCCCTGCAAGTGGCGGTCCAGACTCTGCTCGGCCAAGATGATGTCAATCTCACCTGCTTTCCTTAGACAAGGTATACCTTTCAGCACCGCCACTATATTTCTTAAACAGTGGTTTGACGGCCAAACCCAAACACATGGAAATAGCCTACATGAATTCCATAGTTTAAGACGATCTATTCAAAAACTTCATGCTGAGAATGGGATTGGTATCTCATAGGTTCATTTTTTGTGTCATCACCCCCTTCAACTTCTGAAGGATTTGAAGAAAGTAATGGCTACATCAAAAGAAACCTTGGTTTGAAAGGAGATTTTGTGCCCAAAAAAAATATGCCAAAGGGAGAGCAAATGTGAAGCAACCCTTTGCATGAAACAACCCTGGAGCATGAAAATGGATTATATATATATATATAGAACACCAAATTCAATGCATATTTGGTGGCAGGGGCAGCATTTCCAGGGATGCAAAAGGAGGAACAGTGGGACCGGGCTGGACGATGGACCAGAAAATACCCCGATCTTTTCGTGATATCTGAAACCGCAACATGTTTCCTTTTTTTACAAGCGATGCGGGCAAAGCCAGAACGAAAGCACCAAAAAGATGAAATTTAAAACGAAAAATGATCAAAAAATAAACCCACCGCGGTCAGAAAGCCAAAGAGTGGACCATACACTTAGATATTGTTAGATCATACTAGCATATGGCAGCAGAAAATAGTAGATGTACATAGTTATACGTAGTTATGCGTAGTCATGCGTAGTTATACGTACGTAGTTATACGTAGTTATACGTAGTTATGCGTAGTTATACGATGTTATACGTAGTTATACGTAGTTATACGAAGTTATACGTACTCATACGTAGTTATACGATGTTATACGATGTTATACGTACGTAGTTGATTTATTGATAGGAGAATCGGCAGCAGCAGCAGCAGCATCAGCAGCAGAGCTAGTACATGAATTTAGCAAATCGTGTCTGAGCAGTAGCACTGTGAAGGTAGGCGGTAAGGTGCCCTGAAAACAGCATGAGCACAGGTAGTTCCAGTCTCAGTTTAAGCACATGTTTCCCTTGTAAGGGAAGGATGTAAAAACTGGACCTAGTCTGGCATGAATGCTGGCAATTGCAATGTGAAGAGCACAGCAACATACTTAGCAGAATCTGATCGCAAATGCAACAACAATAAATTATTCACAATGAGGTCAGCATCAACAAGACAACAGGTTAGAGCCATTGGATGAAGACACAACTCGACATGAGCATGTTCGATGTTATTTCTTCCACATTGTGAAGATTTCGTGGCTGTCGAGGGGTGACAAATGTTGCCCCTACGGCCTTGAGCAATAAGTCTCAGGAAGAAAAAGTTTTAACATGTTTCAACATGTCTCAGCGGAAGTCTCAGAACTGCTACATGATCACATAATATGAAGTATATACAATATGATCTCTACTAGTAACATGTGTGGATTTCAAGTCCCTAAGGCCCTAATCCAACACAACCGAAGGACAAAGAACTGCACCAATGACCGCCATGACCCCACTCAAAGTTCAACTCATCTCCTGGCGTTGCTCCTGCGGCAAATCATGTCATTGGAGCGGTTGGAGCTATGGCTTTGAAACTGAGTTCTGCAATGTAGATATATGTAGATTCATCTGTGCATGCAGCAACCGTCATGAAACCTTACAATATCGCTCTTGCATGCTCTCGCTTTCCACAAATGTCGTCTTCCCTGAATGGAAAGATCAAGTCAACTCTGTCACTTTGTCCAAGGGACCTGTTGTAATGATGTATACTGCTGTATACTGCTGTATAACACTGTATAATGCACATCGTTGACAGATATGGTGGTCGACAAAGCTATTGAAATCGGGAGATGTTGGAATAAATTTGAGCACCGAGTGTCGCAGTTCCATTGGTCCATGTGGGGCTGGATGACAAGGTGACAAGGTTATGACAAGGTTATGGTCCATTGGTTCATGGTAGGTGCCTCTGTGTTTGTTGATGTTTGTTGTCAATCATCGTCTCCGTCCAATCTGGACCTGCATGCCTAGCTCAGAATGTTCCACTTGTTCGAGGAGAGGGAGGGATGGCAGAAGGGATTGTATCGGATAGGCAGGGTTGATGGAGTGAGGGCCTTGAGATGCTTTAAAAATCTTTAAGATATTTTGTTCTTTTTCCATATTTTTCCTCTGGATGCTTTATAAAATCTTCTGTTGGTTTGCCTTGGAGATCTTTGCGTCTCGCCAGCTCCAAGCACCCACTCCTCCAGGTATTAGCCAGGAGAAACGACCAGAACCCAGCACCTGAATCCAAGCTTCCAAAATCTTCCACATATAAAAAATAATTTAAAACATGAAGAGATATTAAGAGGGTTGAAGAGGTTTATGGAACGGATCGGAACGGTTTATGATTTTCGCATAATTTCGCCAATTTGAATTTGATCCAATTTGGGAACAAAAATGATCTGCTCTGAGTCTGTCAGATCTGTCAGTTGGGCGGGGGACTGCAGCTTTGTTCCCGCCCTTGCCCAAGTCGTATGGGAAAACCTGAGCCGCATTCAGCCACATCCACAGTGAAAGACGTGAGAGACACTAAATACACGAACAAATCGAACAAAATGAACAAGTGAACAGCTCAATGAACAGCTCAGTGCGTGTAGAGTATAGCTGATTCAGGTGATGCGCTTTAATCTTCTTCCAGTCAAATTCGAATCAAAGAACATCAAAGAATAAACATCAAACGTCACAACATGTCAAACTCTTGGAGCATCTTGGAGCTATCTCACACATTCTCACACTCTCTTGAGGGCTATCTGAGCTTCTTCCAAGGCACAAATTTCTTTTCGCCATTTCTTCGCCGGCGAACCTCTGCTTTCTCGATGACGTACTCCTACCAGAGCACTTGTGACACAAGCATAGGCAGCATAGGCAGCATAGGCTCAAGGGCCCACAATTTTTGTCTGCGCCCTCCATGCGGACAAATCTGCGACGCCACACTCCCGGCTTAGCTTATATTGCGACACAATGGTAGAATGTCATGTTGAGTCGTTTCATGGAAAGCACACTTGGACACACTTGGGTGAATGCAAATAAGAAATTGGTGCTCCCTCTTAGACTTACAGTCCCATGTAGACCCATTCTAAATTCTGACTATATCTGACTATGACTATGACTATGACCCTCAGTAGCTTTCACTGGATTTCGGACACTTCGGACTCTTCGGACTTGTTTCACAATTGAGGGACCATGCCTCGATCATGGTCATGTTGGTCCGCACAGTGTGCTGCATCCTTCCACGGAAACAACAAACGCAATTGCAAAATGACGCAGAACAACACGAAACCAAACGAAACCAGGAAAACGAAGGTGCGTGCAGTGTTTGCTTAGTCTACTCGGTCCAAAGCCCCAAAGTATCCCAAAGTAACATCGCAACAATAGCAGCCGACGGCAACTACATGAAGTGCACAGACAGAGCAGTACTGCACTCGAGTTGCAAAAAAATGAGAAAAAAAGGCTTTTAAAATCTTGTGCAGGGGTGACCTATGACGACCTTCAGGTCCGATCACCAAATATCAAACACCACGTATCAGCAGTCACCGAAAGCTTTCGGAAACGTCACTTCTGCAGCGTAAGGCCGCCACTCCCATGCCAAGGTTCCTACCAAAAGCATAACCTAGGGCCATGTCGATGGCTACAGTCGAGTTTCGGCTTGGGGCCGAAAGTCTGGAGA